GTTCCTCTTCCTCCTCCTCTTCCTCCTCGTCCTTCTCTTCTTCTTCTTCTTCTTCTCGATCGAGGTAGATGTCCGCGGCAGTTCCAGCCGCCTTTCAGAGATTTTTGTTTGAATTGTTTTTGTTTTTGATTGGTTTCTCTCTCCGGGGGCCGCTGCTGGGCCCCAGGACTTTCAAAACCGGACGGACATAGGGCGAGAAATTGCATTGGCGGACCCGGGGAGACGTTCGGGGAACGAACTTGTGCGGAGTAGCCCGTCGGACTCGGGAGGTTTGATGTGGTTGGGGGGTTCCAGGCCCCGCCCCTGTCCGCGTTGGGAAAACGATTGCGATTGGATTCCGGGAAGGGTCTTGGGGGCCCGTGGTGAACGATTTCTGCGTGGGAAAAGGAAAGAACATTACAAAATCTTCGTCGTTTCTGTTTTTTCGTGGTTTTCGTCGTCGAAGGGCCGCCTCCGGGTCCCAGGGATTGTGGATCCCCGTCAGGGCTTGCTGGGTGCATTTAGGCGCCTTTTCATATTTTCTCGGGACGAAGTGCTCGAATTCTCCATTCGGGTTTCCCTCCTTACTCTCCTCTTGGGGCCGTCCTGGGGTTCTCCCTGGTGGCTTCGGGGACCCTGTTGGGGCCCGCTTGTGCCGTCCGGGAGCCTTCTTGGGGGCGTGCGGGGGTTTTTGGTTTGATTTTGGTGGGTTTTTGGCCTGCTGTGGGACTCGTGAGAGCTCAAGGAACGAACGTGTTCAACTTAGATGTTTCCCGTCGGTAAGGGGCCGAGGTTTGGTTGTGCCGGGCCTCTTGGGGCGCGTCCTGGTGGCGCGTTGGGGCATCTACGGGGCCTCGCGGGTCTGCTGTGAGCCGCGCGACAGGCCAAGAAGCGAAAGTGCTACACTTGGGCGTTTCTCTTAGGGGAACAGGCCGAGGTTTGCTTCTGGGAGCCTCTTGGGACGCGTCCTGGCGGCGTGTCGGGGCGTGCTTGGGGCTTCTGGGGCCGTCCGGAGGCAATGTCGGACGTCTTGGATCGATCTTTTCGCGAGTCGTAGACATTTTGGGGCTGTCGGGGGAGGCCCTTGGGGCTGTCCTGGGGCCCTCCTCGGCGGCTGCGGGGGCCCTCTTGGGGATCTTTTGGGCCGTCTGGGAGCCCTCTTGGAGTCATATGGGGTTTCCTTGAAGTGATTTGTGGGTTTCTTGGTTTACTGTGGGCCTCGTGAAAGGCCAAGAAGCGAATGTGCTAAACTTGGACGTCTCCCTTTAGGAAACGGGCCTGTGTTTGCTTGTGGAGGGCCTCTTGGGCCGCGTCCTGGTGGCGTGTTGGGGCGAGCAAGGGGTCTAAGGGGCCGCGTGAAAGGCCAAGAGGCAAACGTGTTGGAAATATGTATTTTCCATCGAGAATGGGACGGTTGTTGCTTCTGGAAGGCTTCTTGGGATGCCTCTGGATAGCGTCTTAAGGCGTCTTGAAGGCCTGTAGGGCTGTCGGGAGGCAATGTTGGACGACTTGGGGCACTGTTGAACGACTTGGGCCGACCAGGAGGCCTTTTAAGAACCCTCTTGGCCCGTCTTGGGGCCTTCTTGGGACCGTCCTGCGGCTCTCCAGGGCCGTTGCTATGGTTTCTGGGGCCTTCGCGGGGCGCCCAGAGGCCGTCTTGGAACCTTCGTGAAAGCCTCTGGGGCTGTGGGGGGTCGATGTTGGATGCTTCTGGGGCCGTTGTAGGCCTCGTGGAAGCCCAAGAGGCGAATGTGCTGACAATGTATGTTTTCCCTAGGGAATGGGCCGATTTTTGCTTCTGGAGGCCTCGTAGTAGCTTTTTAAAACGTCTCGGGCGCCTATGGGGAATCGTCTGCAGGCAAGCTGGGGCGGTTTGGACCGAGTCGTCTCCTTCGTAGGCCGTCCAGAAGGCCTTTGGGGACCCTCTTGGCCCGTTGTGGGGCTCACGTGGGACCGTCCTGCGACTGTCCTGGGCCGTTGCTGTGGTTTCTGAGGCCTTCGTGGTGCACCGAGAAACCGTCGTGGAGCCTTTTTGAGAGCCTCTTGGGGTGTCGGGGGTCGAACTTGGAGGTGCACTTGGCCGTTGTAGGCCTCGTGGAAGCCCAAGAGGCGAATGTACTGAAAGTGTATGTTTTGCTCAGGGAATGGGGCGATTTTGCTTTTGGAGGCCCTCTTGGAGCGCCTCGTGGACGCGTTTTCGTACGTTTTGGGGGCCTATGGGGCCGTCTGGAGGCAATCTTGGGCGGTGTGGACCGAATCGTCCCCACGTGGGCCGTCTGGGCAGCCTTTGGGGACCGTGTTGACCCGTTTTGGAGCCCTCTTGGGACCGTCCTGCGGTTCTCTCGGGCCGTTGCTATGGTTTTTGGAGCCTTCGTGGATCGCCGGGAAGCCGTCGTGGAGCCTCGGGAGCCTCTTGGGCTGCGCAGGGTCGATCTTGGAGGCTTGTTGGGCCACTGTGGGCAGCGTAGAGACCCCAAAGGCGAATGTGCTGAAAAGGATTTTTTTTCCTGGGGAATGGGACGAGTTTTGCTTCCGGAGGGCCTTCGTGGGGCGCTTCGTAGTAGTATTTCAAGAGTCTCGGGGGCTGGTGGGGCCGTCTGGAGGCAATCTTCGGCGTTTTGGAAAGATCTTTCGTCGACTCGTAGCTCTCTTGGACCGTTCCGGGACCCTTTTGAACCTTTTAGGCCCGTTTTGGGGCCTCCTGAGGCTCCAAGTGTGCGGCCCACACCTTTGCCCCCCCCCCTTCCAAACCGGCCGGAACGGGCCCCTGGGGGAGGGGTTTGGGGAGGGGAAGCATCTCACACGCCGTGACCCCAAAGGGTCGGCGGATTCGATTCGGGCATTGCTAGAAATTTCTTGATGCTGACAGGCTTGAGGAGGGTGCAGAGAAAGGGGACGGCGGAGACGACTAACGGAGACGACGACTCGAACAGACAAGCCCCTCACACACGCCGACAGGGTCGGCGGATTTCCTGTTCATACGTAGCCCCCATCCTGCTAATCTCTCTTGTGCTCCATGCTCCTCCCTCCCCCTTGCCCTTTCCCTTCTCCCTCCCATTCCATGTTTAGGGGCCGTGCCAATTACATGTGGCAGGTAAGGAAGGTATACCCCCAGGGGTGCGATCGAGATTTTGCCGTATCCTGCTGGGCACGCAAGCAGAAAAGAACGAGCAGTTTTGAACTGACGGTTAGATTATCACTTCTCAGGAATAATTATCCAGCTGCCTGCGGCAAGTCCCGCCGCCGTGCCAGCGCAGCATTCTGGGTGGCGATCGTTCGAGGGGACACGAGCGGCGGTCACGTGTGAAACTTCGTGTCTCCAGGCTTAGGTGAGCCGTGATGGGGATTATGAGGATTATGAGGATGATGGGGATGGCGACGACGACGACGAGGGCGTCGACGATGATTATGATGCTGAATATGATGATGCTGCTGATGATGGTTATGATGATGATAATGGTGACGCCGATTATGATTATGATGCTGATGCTGGTAATGATGATGATGATGATGATAGTGGTGGTGATTGTGATGCTGATGATGATGGTGATGCCAATGACGATGGTGGTGCTGATGATGGTGATGCTGATGATGATGATGATGCTGATGATGGTGCTGCTGCTGATGATGTTGATGATGCTGATGACGACGATGCTGATGGTGTTGATGATCATGATGCTGCTGCTGCTGCTGCTCATGATGTCAAATATGCTGCTGATGATGAAGATGCTGCTGCTGATGATGCTGCTGCTGATGATGCTGCGGTTAATGATGCTGATGATGATGACAATGCAGATGATGCTGATGGTGATTATGCTGCTGATGATGCTGTTGCTGGTGATGTTGATGGTGCTGCTGCTGATGATGATGCAGATGCTGCTGATGACGATGAAGATCGTGATGATGATGCTGACGATGATGGCGATGATGATGCCGATGATGATGCAGATGATGATGATGATGATGATGATGATGATGATGATGATGATGATGATGACGATGATGATGATGATGATGATGATGATGATGATGATGATGATGATGATGATGATGATGATGATGATGATGATGGTCATTATGATTACGCTGATAACGATCATGGTGTTGTTGGTGGTTATGGTAATGGTGATGGTGATGTTGATGGTGATGTTGATGGTGAGGGTATTGAGAGGAGGATGAGGAGGATGAGCTGGAGGAGGAGGAGAAGGAGGAGGAGGAGGAGTAGCCTGAGGAGGAGGAGGAGGAGGAGGAGGAGGAGGAGGAGGAGGGGGAGGTTGAGGAGAAAAGGAGGATGGAGAGGGTGTGGAGGACAACTAGGTGCTCTCGCGCCATATCTGACTTTCCACCCCTCCCACCCATCCCTTCCTATTACGGTCATTTGTTCTGTCCGCGGACGCCTGTCATAGCCGACCTGTATTTCCAAGCTGCGTACATAGGAGGAGGAGGAGGAGGAAGAGGAGGAGGAGGAGGAGGACCAGGAGGAGGAAGAGGAGGAGGTGGCGGGTGAGCGGGAGGATGAGCAGGGGGAACAGGAGGAGGATGAAGAAGGAGGAGGACGAGTACGAACAACAGCAAGAGAAGGAATTCATTTGGAAGGAGTGGGAGGAGCAGGAGAACCAGGGAAAGGCGGAGGAGGGGAACCGATGGGTGCGACAACGATGATGAAGGACTCGGATCCAGAAAAGTGGGCCCACGCTAGGGCGAGACCATTTCGAACGGTAGGAGCACATCGTCGATCCGAAAATGAGGCCCACGCTTCAGCGGGAGCATCATTTTTTGAAGTGCCGAAAACAGTTGAATTATAAAACCACAATGGACTCTCAAACTTTCGAAATCGTGAGTGCGTGGGAGACAGCAGTACGCGGAGGGGGCGGAGCATGTTCCGTAGGGGGTCATGGGAGGACGGATAATCTATTCATCATGTGTAAGTGTGGAGGGGGGTGGGGGGAGAGAGGAAGAGGAGGGCGAGGAGGAGGAGGAGGGGGGGCGTGGGGAGGAGGGAGAGTGGCAGGGTGCGCGAGGCAGAGACCAAATCCATGTGGGGAAACGTGCAGTCGGGCGGGTACTTCGACGACCAGGAGTGCGTGCTCACCGACGACCCGCGCTGGCTACGCACCGACATGCAGTGGGCAGTGGTGCCGCGGGCTCAGCGGATTTTCCTCGACGCCGGCCGCTTCGCAGAGGAGTAAGGGGTACTCATGCCGCTACCCTTGTCTCGTTGTCGGCTTTCTGGGCCTCCTGGGTGGTCCTCGTCGCCACCGTTGGATTCGCCTCGAAACTGAAAGGCCCGGGGAGTAGCGGTATCGGTACCTTTCGGTGTCCTTAGTTGTTGACCATTTGCTCGACGAGGAAGGATCGAGGACAACAAAAGGCATGAACACAAACTTTCGGCGGCCCCAGGGAGTGGTTGAGCGCCGATCCAGGAGATTTGCGCGGCGAGCTTATGTTCATGAAGTTCTTTATTCCTCTGGAAGAGGATACTGAGAAGGACCCGCAGCAACAACATGAGGAGTGGCAACTGGAGTTCCATGCAGGTTCGGATCAGGTCGAGGATGATGATGATGATGATGATGATGATGATGATGATGATGATGATGATGATGATGATGATGATGATGATGATGATGATGATGATGATGATGATGATGATGATGATGATGATGATGATGATGATGATGATGATGATGATGATGATGGTGGTGGTGGTGGTGGTGGTGATGATGCTGAATGATGCTGATTGATGCTGTGATGGGATGATGATGATGATGATGATGAGGATGATGATGATGATGATGATGATGATGATGATGATGATGATGATGATGATGATGATGATGATGATGATGAGAGGGAGGGGAGGAGGAGGAATGAGGAGTTGGAGTTGGGGGGAGGAGGATGAGGAGGGAGGAGGAGGAGGAGGAGGAGGTAGAGGGGAGGAGGTTTGAAGAGGGGAAGCGGAGGGAGTGGCGAGGTTGAGAAGGGGGAGGGCGAGGAGGCGGAAGAAAAGGGGCGACCAGGAGGAGGGAGGGGATGCGCATGAGGAGGAGGAGGAGGAGGAGGAGGAGGAGGAGGAGGAGGAGGAGGAGGAGGAGGAGGAGGAGGGGGCGAGGAGGAGGAGGCGGAGGTGGGAGAGGGGGAGGGAGAGGGAGAGGGGACGAGCGAGGTGCGATGGCGCACATCCCTCCCACCCGTCCCTTCCCGCTGCGCTGATTTTTCTTGATCCGTGGACGCATGTCATAGGGGACGTGGAACTCCAAACAAGACCCCATCGTGCTATGCGCAATCGGAAGAGGGGAGTTGCGTATATTGTGGGAGGAGGTGGCTGACCAGCAGGAGGATTGGAAAGAGGAACATGAGGAGGAGGAGGAGGAGGAGGAGGAGGATGATGAGGAGGAGAATTAGTGGAATGGCGGGGATGTGCACACACGTGCGCGCCGCGGGGGGCCAGGGCTGGACATGACCAGCCCTGGACCCCCCCGACCGTGACGTGGCCCTCCGAGACGCCGAAGCGCAGGCACGACGAGTCCCCAGGGAGCAGCGTCACCTGCGGCCGAGGAGCTGGTCCATGTCCTCGGGGGAGAAGGGGGGACAGCCGTCCCGCTCGGCCTTCTCCAGCAGCTCCCGACAGCGACCCTTCCTCTTCGGCGTCGCGGCAGCCTCGGCACAGTCAGCCGCCATGCGCTGCTGCTCCTCGCCATCGTGGGGCCCATCGTTCATGATGGCAACGTCGACGGGCGCTTCCAAGGCCCGCTCGAACGTGGGGCATTCCATCGCCCTGCACGGCACGACAACAAGAGCGTCAGCACGGAGCACGTGTCCAACACCAACGTCAGCAACCGCAGTAACCTCGGAGGAGTCGTCGCCCATGTCCTCACCATGGCCGCTGCTGCTAGCACACGAGACATCCGTCGACTCTTCAGCGGCAACAGGTAGAGCACGTCGCCGCGATGCACGCGCACCCGCCAGCTTCTCTTCGAACTGGGAGCCGGCGGTAAACCGTCAACCAGGTTACCGCCGGAAGCCTCGTAGAGCTCTGTTCTCGCACGACGCTGCTCGCCAAACATCGGAGGAGCTATTCCCAAGCGCAAGTTATGGAAAGTCGGTTCCGCCAAGTGTTTTGATAGTAATACTGCAGCTACAGACCTGAGAATTTCACTGGCAGACGCGGCATAACCCACAACAGGTGCGAAAAATACCGTTTCTCAAAACGAATTTCAAAATCTCTCACAATCTTCGAAACACCGACCCCAGGTCACATTGTCTGCCCAGGCCCGGTCGGCCAACAGGAAGCCGGCGGTAAACTGTCAACCAGGTTACCGCCGGGAGCCTCGTAGAGCTCTTTCCTCGCGGCGCTGCCGGAACACATGGAGAGAGCTTCATCGAGTTAATTGGGCAGCTCGAGCAAAAATCATCTTTGGGTTTGTTATCGAAAGTCGGTTCCTTCAAGTGTTTCAATACTAATAGTACAGCTAAGGACCTGAGAATGTCACATCCAGACGCGGAATAACCCACTACAGGTGCGAAACATACCAGTTCTCGAAACGAATGTTCAAATATCTCACAATCTTTGCCCAACCGGCCCAAAGTTCACATATTGTCCGTCGGGGCCGGGTCGGCCAACTGCCGCAGGCGGTGAACCGTCAACCTGGTCAACGCCTGGGAACTCGTAGAGCTCCTTGCACGCACTAGAGTGCTCAGAATCGAAGCGGAGAACTTCGCAGAAGATTTTCTTAAAATCTTTATTTTTGAGTTTTTCGATGTCAATAGGAGGTCGGTTCCGGGAAGTGAATCGATAGTAAAACTCCCTCGCGAGAGCTGAGCTGCTCTGAGAATGAAGCTTATGTGCGTATGCTTAGCGTAAAAATCTGGTTTCTCAGAATCAATTGTCAAATGACTTCAAGAATACAAGATGGCCCCGCACGTGCAGAGCAAGCCAGGGACGGCCTCCGCGGCAGCATCCGACGAGCAGTGCCCCTCCCCCGCCGAGTTGAGGGGCAGGTGCGCAACCTCGACAGCCCCGACCTCCGCGCCCGCGCCATGCGGTCGACGCCTCCTGCGACGACGCTGCCCACCAGCACCTTGACGTTGAAGACGGTTGAGCTCGGCCTGGCTCGCCTCCGCGATCTGCGCAGCAGGCACTCCGAACTCGTGGGCCGCGAGGTTGCGGCGCGCCACCACAGCAGGCGGCAAATCGGCATCTGAGAGTCCAGCAGCAAGAACGGGAACGATGAGACGAACACGCCCCTCCACTTCGTCGCAGCTGTTGGGTACCGCCCGCAGCGCGCCCAGCTCAGCCCGCAGTGTCTCGGCTTCGGCAAGGGCATGCGCCAGCTGCCGCTGCAGCCGCCGAATGGCTCCATCCGCAGCGCTCGCCGCCGCTGCCCTTGCCATGCGCCGCTCCACGGTTGAGATTTTCACAAGTCCACCTCCAGGGGCCTCATCCCGTACGGCCATCTCGTCCCTGCCCACGTTGGCCCAGTCGCCACCGGGCCGACAGCAGCACGCCACCGGCCATGGGCGAAAAGGCTGCAGAGAAAGCGGGGAACGCGGCTTGAGCCAAAATGGCTACGGGGGAGGAGCAGGAGGAGGAGGAGGAGGAGGAGGAGGAGGAGGAGGCGGAGGAGGAGGAGGAGGAGGAGGAGGAGGAGGAGGAGGAGGAGGAGGAGGAGGAGGGGGGGAAAGAATCAGGTTGAGGACCAGCAGCAGCAGCAGCAGCAGCAGCAGCAGCAGCAGCAGCAGAAACTGGAGTTGAAGGAGCGGGTGGAGCATGAGAATTAGGGGAAGGCGGATGATGGCAAATGATGGGGGCGACAACGACGAGGAAGGACTCTGATCCAGAAAAGTCGGCTACGCTGGGGCGAGATCGCCGTTCTGAACGACGCAGCGAGATCGCCATTTGAGAAGGACCGACGCGTTCGGATGGGGAAAACCACACACGAACAAAACAATCCGTGCCAATCCCGTGTGTCAAAAAGAGCACCCTGGGGAGGGCGCGACATTCTCGGGCCGTTATCAGGGGAGAGGAGAGCAGTATTCATATTGTCTAGTGTTTGTACAGTGTGATACGGGGGAGACAGAGGATAAGGAGGGCGAGGAACATGAGGGGGGCTGGGGAGCAGGAGGAGGAGAAGGAGAAGGAGAAGGATAATGATAAGGACAAGGAGAAGGAGAAGGAAATGGAGGAGGATGAGGAGGAGGATGAGGAGGAGGAGAGGAGGAATAGGAGGAGGAGGAGGAGGAGGAGGAGGAGGAGGAGGAAGAGGAGGAATGGGATAAGCAGGAGGAGGAGAAGGATGAGGAGGAGGAAGAGGAGTAGTAGTAGGAGGAGGAATATGATGATGATGATGATGATGATGCTGCTGATGATGATGATGATTGTTGATGATTGATGATGTGATGCCTGATGATGATGATGATGATATGTGATGCGGATGATGATGATGCTGCTGATGATGATGATGATTGTGACTGTTGATGTTGCTGCTGCTGATGCTGGCTGATCCATTATGTGCTGATGATGGTGGTGTTGCTGATGATTTGATTGATGATGGAGAGGAAGGATGGTGTGCAGCTGCTGAATGTGAATGATGCGGAGAAGGAGGAGGATGAGGAGGAGGATGAGGGGATGATGCGGACGAAAGGGGGATGATGATGAGATGATGAAGATGTGATGATGATGATGATGATGATTGATGTTGATGTGTTGAGGATTGAGGATGAGATGGAGATGATGATGATGATGATTGCTGCTGCTGATGATGACTGATGATGCTGCTGATGATGATGATGACTGCTGCTGCTGCTGATGATGATGATGATGTTGATGCTGCTGCTGCTGCTGCTGATGATGATGATGATGGTGGTGGTGATGATGCTGATGATGATGATGATGATGATGGTGATGGAGATGTGATGGTGATTGGTAGATGGTGATGGTGGTGGTGGTTGGTGGTGATGACGATGATGATGATGATGATGCTGCTGTGATGATGATGATGATGATGATGATGTTGATGTATGATTATGATGATGATGATGATGATGATGTGTGATGATGATGATGATGATGATGTGATGATGGATGTGATGAGATGATGATGATGATGATGATGATATGATGATGAGGTAAGGAGGAAGGGG